TCTGGATCCAAGCCCCTGGCACCATGGAGATCTCACATGCCTCTTCAACAAACTATGGTGCCCAGTGACAATCACTAGATTTAACACACAAATTCCGATTATCACAAGTCTGAAAGGCTCTTTCCTATCATGCCATTCACAGCAAGAAGAAACCACTGAAAGCTCAAATATGATTAGGATGCCAGTCACACTTACTGCCTTACAGCAGTGCCCAGCTTCAGCCCGTACTTCAGCTTGAAGGAACTTGAAACTAATGTGCCAGTCACTGAAACAAAGCTGGATGATTATAGCAGAGGATGCACCAAGCTATTTGCACCAACATTACACTTTGTTACGCTGGAAAAATTTGTGCCCAAACAGTCAGAGTGCATTTGGATGTTAAATTACAGTGGTCACCATGCTGCAAGGAAGTAGCAAAAAGCTACCACTTGAGCAGCTTCTTAACTGCTCTATGGATGCAAAGTTCTTTTGTAATTGTTCAAAGAGCAAAATCCGAAATTCTTCATGAAAACTTCCAAATACAATAGCCACTGTTTTCTGAGGCCATCTGAGGCCATCCACTATGGCCTCAAACTAAAATCTTAAGGCTTTTTTTTTTAATTTATCTGACACAGTTGCCTGTCACAGAGTACCCTCTACACCCATCACGCTGACTAGTGATAAAATAGCTTGCCTGATCACAAAGTCTGTTTTAAAAAGATAAGAGCTTCTTAAAGGGCTTAAACAGCTCTCCTATTGTTTAGGCATTTCCCCATGAACTCTTAAGAGCAGCCCAAATTCACACATCACTGATCAGCTGATGGCAAAAATTGTTAATGCTTGCTGATCAAGATGGCAGTTTATTAATGCTTGCTGATCAAGAGCATAGCTTTTTCCACTCAGCTACAAGCAGATACTTTTAGCTTTTGAGGTCCCTAGTTCAATCCCTGGCTGTCAGCCATGACACAGACCAAATAGATCAAACAACAACTGAATAATCTCCAGCCCTCAAGATGGCCAGAATAAAGAATATACAGTATTTGCCATGCTTGGTGATATCATGAGTTCTTGACAGATGCTCACATCCCCCCTGCTGCAGTGACTGATGTGCTCTCACAGCTTTGCATCTCCTAAGAAGTCACATTACAAATATACCTGACTATATTATTGAGTGAATATATATATGTGTGTGTGTATAGATTTTTTTTTTTGTTGGAAATTCATAATTGTCCAGGGAAAGCCCAGAAGATTCAGGCTAGGTCTTGTATAAGCCACAACACCCTAAAATGACTAAAACCACCAGTCATTGTCCTGTGAAGAAATTAATTTGGGTTCACAAGACTTTCAAGCTTTTATGACTTGGTTACAAACAGTCTGCCAATGACCTGCAGCATTTTAGTGTAGTCCAGTCACACACAGTCCTACTCACTTGCTGACATTCGATAATGGAGTTACAGGTGGGCAGTTGTTCTCAGGCCTACACATAGCTAACGCACTGAAGTGACTGGTTTTTACAGCCTGAGAAGAAGACAGTCTTCACTTGAACAAGCGCAGGCAAGCCAGAGAAGCTCAAACTCATAGGTCAGAAGAAAAAAAACAGAAAAGCCAATAAAGCAATACAATAGAGCAGGCACAGAATAGGGAAGGCAACAGGCAGCTGATCCAGCTCACACATTCATTCTATTCCAAGCTGCAACTCAAAGGACAATCTAGCAAATATTTTAGGGAACTTCTAGTGAAATACCATTAATTACACAAAACACAGTCAAAGCAGAATTGACTCCATCTCACACGGAGCACATTGTGCACTTCAGAGAAAGGTGAATCCTTGCCTGAAAGAATGTGTCCAGTTATGCAATGCATGGGGAGAAGCTCCACTTTGACTCCACCCAGAGACCAGCTCACACCTGGAACAAGGAGTATCTGGACCCTGTCATTTTTAGCCCACATGCTGCAGTTGTACGTTCTGCTCCCACACGGCCTCCAGAATGACTTGTGTCACCCACTGTAAGGCTTAGTGACTTCTCAGTGGCATTTCAATTCCAGGGTGGAGTGGGAGGCTCTGCTTTGGTTCTGTACTGCAATCAATTACCATCATATCAAAAATTGCTTTGTGCAAATTAGACTGGCAGTTGATTTGAAGGGGAGAGAGGCTCATCTCCAGTTTCAGGAGGTAGGGAGCATGCGTTTCCAGGGTTAAAGAGTGAAAGAAAAGGCCAGACTACTTCCTAGGGCCAGGAACAAGTATCCAGAAGTGGTCAGCTAACCTCACCCTTGCCACCAAGCTCTGAGCCTTCTGCATGCCTGAAGAACTGAAGCAAGTGAAGAACACATAGTTGGCACAGAAAGTGGTGAAACAGGTTAACGCGTTCGGGCCATGCTAGCTTCACTTATCAATAGCGTTGCAGAGATCATGGAACCCTCCTCCCGTGAACAGTGACAAATGAGACTGTCTTCTCAAGCACTGGATGTTCAGGCCCACTAACGCCCTCCATGTTTATCAGCTTTTTCCTGCCCTGGGCTGCAGAGGACACGGTAACCCCAGCAGCCTGCCAGGGGCCCAGTGACACAGCCGCAGGCAGCACCGCTGTGCCTGCCCCCCGCCCTCCTCTCCCCTCCCTGCTGTCGGCAGCCAGAAGGGACGAAGAGAATGAGCAAGAGCACTGTCCCGCCTGCCGAACTCCTCAATCCGGCTGTCAGGAGTCCGGCTCATAGACCGGCAGCACGGATCCCCTGAGACAAGGGAGTGCAGCCGCCCTGAGCCCGGGCCTCGGCGCGGCCCCTTCCCCCAGGGGGTCCTGGGAAGCGGCTTTATCCCCCCTCTCCACAGCGCTGCCAGCGCCCGCGGCTGCTGTTTCAGAGTGGGAAGCAGCTCAGCGAGGATCCGGCACAAAGGGGCCCCTGTCCGCACGGCGGAGCGGAGGCGCGGGCGCCGGAGGGAAAGAGGGAGGGGGAGCCTCGGCAACCCCCAGCGACGAGGCGGCGGCAGCGGCGAGCCGGCCCCGGGAGGCCGACGGCGGGGCACCCGCCGAGGGCTGGGCTGGCGGCTGGGCTGCGAGGGGCGCGGAGGGACCGGAGCTCTCCCCGGAGCTTCCCTAGCTCCCCGCTAACAACCTGCTGGGGATCGCAGCCCCGCCGCCCTTCCCGGCCGCGCCGCCCCTCTCCGTACCTACCGGGGGTCTCCGCTGCGACTCCAGCCGAACTGCGCCGAGCCGCCTCCCGGTCCCCTTCTACCCACAGGCAGCGCCCAGCCGGGCACCGCCTCCCCCACCCGCCCCCTTTCCATGAGGAAACTTTTCCCTCGCAGCTGCCAGCCCCTCCCGCGCCGCGCTGCCCGCCGCGGGAAGGCGGCGGCGGCGGGACTGGGATGAGCTCTGCCGCCAGGACCCCCGCACTCCACGGGGCACAGGTCCGAAAGCCGCCCGGCCCGGAGGAGTGGAGCACACAGCCCCGCAGAGGTCACCCCGCCGCTTACCTCGCAGGCAGCGCTACTTGGCGGGACGTTCGGCGGGCAGCGGCCACCTGGGCTGGGCGCAGGCTGAGCCCTCCCCCTATTTCAGCCGCGGGACACGGGGGCTTCCGCCCCGCCTCCAGCAGCTCCCGCGGGGCGGGCCCGACGCCTGCTCTCGGGGCGCTCCGGTGGCCGCGGCGGCGGAGCAGCTCCGACACAGCTCCCGCCTCCCCGCCCCCTCCGCCGGGCCCTTGATCCAATTAACGGGAGCGGGCTCTGTCCAGGCAGGTGGGGCCGGGGCAGGGCGCTGGGAGGGCAGCTCTGGCTCCCGTCGCCTTTCCCCGCCACGGGGAGGGCGTGAGGTCGGCCCTGGGCCCGGGGTGAGGAGGGCGCCGGCTGAGGTCTGAGCGGCCGGGCCCCTGGTTGTGGTGGGCGGCGGGAGCGGGAGGGTGGCGGCCCTGTGAGGAGCTGCCCGCTCGGCCCTGCCGTGAGGAGTTGGGCTCCTGTCCGTGTTGCCCACTGGCTTTGGGGCTTTAGTCGGTTGTAAGTTAGTTCCTCTGTGTGCTGTGCCGGCCAGCTGGCCTCCGGTGTGCTGGAGCAGGAGGCCCAAGCAGGTTCCCCAAGGCCGGCTCCTACCCAAGTGAAATGCTGTGCTCTTGTGAGCATGGCATGGGTCACTCTCCCTGGGCTTGAAGACTCTCTTCACCTCGGTTTGGCTTGGCATCCATCTTTCAGCCCAATCCTGTTTTCGGTCACTCTCCCTTTCCTCTGAAAACTTCTATCTGAATAATCTGGACCTTTTCTTTAAGCCCTCGTAGCCTTTAAGATGACACCAGGTGTTTCTGAATGCCAGGGAGTTTGCCTGCCAGCATTTCCATTTCTAACGCCAGGCCTCCTTGCAGGAGGAAGAGAGGAAAGAGTGTGCCATAAATCTGTACTTCCACTTCTCTGGAGAAGTACTTGGATGTTTTTTCTTTACAACTGCCCCAGGTTTCATAAGACCCAGGAAATTACCTGTACTGATGCCCTTCACGTTGCTGTGTTGGAAAGTGGACATTAGGAACCATTCCACTTAAATTCTTTTAAGGCAAATCCTCAGTGCGTGGTCTGTGGAAGATGGGCACCCATGGCAGGTCATTGGCTGGGATGTGACCATGAGCATCCTTTCAGAAAGTGAGGAAAGATGCTTATCTTGTCCTCAAAGTTAATCACAGTTGAGCGTATAAGCAACAACTTTGTTTTTACTAAAACATAACCAAACTCAAGTCTTTGACATTGGTCCTCCCTAATTCAATTATGTTCTGAGTTTTTCATTGCATTATCAAACTAATGTATCTTAATGAAGTACAGAAAAGGCAAACACGTCGTGCATTAATATTCTATATCCAGCGTTTGCCTTTGCTATGTTTTCGTACTGATTTCCATATTGATAGTCAACGTACTGAGCATCTAAGACAGATAACGTCCATTTGGGACCTGGGCGCTGCTAATACTGATTGCAAGGTGAGGGTACTCCATAGCATGGCTGCTGCAAGCCTTGCCTCCAAGGCTGGAGTGGCTTAGGGAAGATGGAGAGCTCAGGTAAATGAGGTCATAACAACTGTAATATTTTTGTTCATTTTCCTGGTGCAGGCAGCTTAGCAATGGTCATGGGATAGGAGGTCGGATATCTACTCTTTCTCTTTTATCTTCTCAGGATTATATATTTTTTCCTACTTTTTAGTGGAATATAGGCTTGTTTTCACGTGCACGGCAAGCTGTAGTTGCTGTAATGGTATACGTTAGTATATTAGTCAAACTAAAGTAGCCAAAACCATTCGTGCTTTGGACAAAGATCTTGGCAACAAGGAGGACACCTAATGGTATTACCAATACCATGAAATTGATCTTAATCACAATTTAGCTTTACCAGACCCGGTGACAAGACAGCTTTATTCTGTGGAAGAGAACCACAACCTCCAACTGCGGCACAGCCTCAACATAATTGTACATCAGACAAAAGGCATCATAAAAATAAGCCTAATATCCTGCCCACACAGAATTATACTCCTCTGAATTTGCTGCATACTGTAGTTCAAAGAGTGTGAAACTGTAAATACATATAAGAATATTTTCTCAAATTAGTCTTTCTCTGGCTTGCTCAGAGTACCATACAGACACTGAGCTGTGGGACCCCAGGCCAGTGGCATTTTTTCTGTGGATGAATTGTGTACTGTCTGCTGTTCTTGTCCTTAATGGATAAAAACTACAAAAATATCTGGTGATTCTCTAGAGAGAAAGTCAACTCGGTGTTAGACATCGATATAAACACTGTATTTAGCATGCGGCCTCACCTTTAATACTGTGTACAGTCCTGGGGGCCACAATTTAAGGGTGTTGAAGTCCTCAAATGGGTCCAGAGTTTGGACTTGTCTAGTCTGGAGAAAAGGAGGATAAGGGGTAACCTCATGGCTCCCTACAACTTCCTGAGGAGGGGAAGTAGACAGGGAGGTGCTGATCTCTTCTCCCTGGGATACAGTGACGCACGGGAAAGGTTTGAAGCTACACCAGGGGACGTTTAGACTGGACACTAAAAAGCATTTCTTTACTGAGAGTGTGGTCAAACATTGGAACAGGCTTCCTAGAGAAGTGGTTGATGCCACAGTTTGTCAGTGTTTAAGAGGCATTGTGACAATGCCCTTAATACCAACCTTTGACTTGATCAGCCCTGAACTGGTCAGGCAGTTGGACTAGATGCTCATTGTAGGTCCCTTCTATATGAAACAGTCTATTCTACTCTATTCTATTCCATTCCACTTCTGAAAAATGCTAACTGTGATAGCTCCAATAGGGAAATATGTAGGTTACTGTGTGTGTGCTCTGCATGGGGACAATTCTGCTGGGAGACAAATGGAGTGGAGACAGGAAGTGCACATCTTTGTTGGAGATAACTTGGATAACAGCATCAGAGTTTTCTTTGGGATCCTATGATGAAGACTTCCACAGACCTATAGAAGAAAGCATTGATCACTGTCAAGATATGAAGATATTTTTTTTTCTGTAGTAGTTTTTCTTCCCAGAAATCAAACCTTTGAGGCAAGAAGGGAAGTGCTGTGTTCAATTTTTCCTCTTGCTGTATTTTGCTAATGGATACAGTTCTAAGAAGAATGGAGTGTATTAGAGAAGTGCCTGGTAAGGCTTTAAGACTTGCTGATTAGGTTGATATATATGTTCAAAGACAGATTGTGTTTGTCTCTGATTATCATTTTTGTGTATGGCATTCTAATACAGGATGGCAGCAACTAATACAACTTTGTTACTGTTCAGGGAAAAAGCATAGAGACTGGGTGTTTGTTGTTTTTCCATTAGTTTTTCTGTGCATTTCCTAATATGTGAGAAAATGCATAGGTAACTATAGTTATAGCACAAAAAATACCAACACTCAAACCCAAACCCTAAAGCCCCACAGTTCAAGGCATGGCTATGTACAGATATTTTAGGACCTGTGTTCATAGCCAGCTGTGAGTGACTGCACCTTAATTACTGAGCATAGGCACTGGGAGGCCTGAAGCATGGGAAGGTACTGCTCCGGAGGTAAAGGATAAGGTTCGCCACGCAACACGGCCCCTTTCCAGGTGGAGGGGAAGTGCTGGTACCTTCCGCTGTGTTGGTAGGGCTCTTCCTTCCCCATTCTTGTCAGCTTTGTCATGTAAGGTCTGGTTCTCTCCGAGCTGCTCTTGACATGTCTTTTTTATATGCTTTTGAAGCGCATTTTTTTTCTGTTGGGTTCTGACACCAGGTGTGTTTTCTTGTGTAAGTTGTGTTTTGAAATAGTATCGGTTTTTTAGTTGCTGTTGGTTACTGTATCTGGGGCCCTTACCAACCAGTTTTAATAAGCCAGTTTGGTGCTCTAGAAACCAATAAGGTAGGTAAGATTGTTGAGTGCTGCACCGAAACAACAACAACAGGCAGACAACGGACACCTTGCAGCCGCCTCCCGTGCAGTCCGGCTCCAGCGGAGTCGGAGGTGCCCACGCTGATCGCCGGGGAGGCCGGCAGGGGTAAGGGCGGTGGAGGCGGGCAGGGGCTGGGCCGGCACCCCGCGCCCTCTCCGGCTTCCCCCTGCCGAGGCGGGTGCCCCTCAGCGGCGAGGGGCGGGTGGGGGCCGCCGTGGCCGCGCTCGGCTCGGCTCTGCTCCCCGGGGCCGGGCGGGGGCCGCTGACCCCCGTTCCCGCCCCGGTTATGAAACCGCGGGGGAGGGGCCGGTGCCGCCCGCCAACCGCGGCGGCGCCGGGGGAGCCGAGGCCGCCGGAGCGCAGGTGAGAGCGGGGCGGCCTTTCTCGGCCAGGCCGCAGGGGCGGCGAGCCGAGCCGGGTCGGGCCGGGGCTGTGGGGCGGCCCCGCGAGGCCCGGAGCCGCCGAGTGTGCGCTATTTGGGGAAGCCTGCGGGGTGCCCGCCGAGCTATATTTGTATAGAGCCATATATTTAAATATATATAGCCGTGGCAGCCATTTAGGAATTCTAAATAAGTTCAGCGCGAGCACGGGATAAACCCCTGGATGTGCTTCGGGGAGGATCCGCCGGGGGGATGCGTGTGACGCATCGCCCGCCGGCTGCGAGGGAGGCTGTGGGAGGCCCGCGCCTTTCCTCAGGGGCCTGGTGGCGTTGTGGTCGTCACAGCACGGGACACGAGGGGCTGCATCCCGTCGCTCTCGGAGGAGCAGCCCGGGTGTGGTTGCCAGCCAGTGCGGGAGCCCAATCCAAATACCAGGTGGTGGTTGTGAGTAAAAGTGGCCGCTAAACTGAAAGTACCTTCTGAGCACGGTTGTTGGAAGATCAGTCAGCCCAGGCCATCATCGTGAAAGCTGAATCTAAAGAGTTCTGTGTTAGCTACTACTGAAAAAGTTAGAATATTATGTGGTTTCACAGATTTACTTTAAGCAGATCTGTGGGTTTCAGGCTTAAAAGTTTGGTAGAAGAACATCTATCAAAACATATTCTAGTGCTTTAGGATACGTTAGTTTTAATAGGTGAACAAAGTAGAGTTTATTGAACCTCCTCCCCTCTTCAGCAGGGCACAACAAAAAGCCAATGCCATACTGATGAAAGAGGGTACAGGTATAATCACTACTTTCAGACTATTGGCATATGTTTCATTCCAGTTTTCTTCTCTGTTCTCTAGTTAGAAGTGTATGAAAGTCTTACCTTCCTTGCTTTGTTTGCTTTCAGTGGTCAGACAGGATGGCTCCAGTGAACCAGCCAAAGGACAAGGAGTGTGAGAGTGTGTATCAGCATTGGCCAGAAGAGGCAAAATCAGCTGGGAAGAGGAAAGCGGACTATGAGAAATTGGGGAATGAGACACAAACAAAGAGGTTGTTTGTGAGAAAAACATCTAAACCCCCAGGGAAAATTGGTAACATTTCCTCAGATCCTTACTGTTTTCTCTCTACCAGACTTACTGCAAATGATAGGCTTTGACTAGTTAAAGAGGGAAAATGCCAAGAAATGTGTTCAGACATGAGTGTTCAGATGGTGTTATATATTGAAGTGATAGGTGGGCATGTATTGGAGTAGTACATCCTCCAATTTTCTGTATAGTGAGTGCGTGTGCATGCATGCATGTTTAATTTTTGAGACTCTGTACCCCTTGGCGAAAGCCTGCTCCCTGAAGATGCTGTCATTTGAGCTCATTTGAGGGGGTTAAGCTTTGTGGAATTCCTCTGTTACCAGATCTCTGCTTTAGTATAAAACAGACCAGTCTTGGTAATACATCGTTTTTCTCTCATGCAATTCCTAATGCAGTTTAGTAGTCATAAGGTTGGTATCCTGCAGCATGCAGTCTAAACTGGCGTTTTCTCCCGCTTCTTTGCATATTTTAACTTTTGCTACAGTAACTAGGAATACTTTCTACTTCTATGTTTAGAGTTGAACGGACAGAATTTCTACTAATCACTTGTCATTATGTGCAGTTTTTTCCTTTAGTATGTAACTTAGGTAAAAAAATCTAAAGATTTTTGGTGTAATGTGGAGAGGTAATTGATTTCTAATATACTGGAAAGTTTAGTGCTTTGAATTATCAAGAAAGTTGACTAGATTTTACCTACAGCAAGGACTTTTCATAGAGACATTTAGGTTGGAAGAGACCTTTACGATCATCGAATCCAACCGTTAACCCAGCACTGCCACCACTAAACCATGTCATTAAGTGCCATGTTTACATGTCTTTTAAATACCTCCAGGGTATTTAATACCTCAATGTCTTCCCTGGGCAGCCTGTTCCAGTGCTTGACAACCCCTTCAGTGAAGAAATTTCTCCTAATGTGAGTCTAAACCTCCCCTAGTGCAACTGGAGACCTTTTCCTCTTGTCTTATCACTTGTTCCTTGGGAGAAGCGACTGACTCCTCCCTTGCTACAACCTCCTTTCAGGTAGTTGTAGAGAGCAATAAAGTCTCGCTTCAGCCTCCTTTTTCACAGAAAACCTGTAATTCCATCAATGGTTTAGAAGATCACTGGGGCTACTGCCTTGTGTGGAGATACTACACACTTTCTGTACAATTTTGGCTTTAAGGAACCAGAAAATACTGAAGTGCATTTCAACAGCCAAAGATACAGGGGTTTTACGATTTTAAACATTTCCATTGTGTGGTCTGTAGGTCCAAACTTGGAACAGTTAGCAGCGTGAACAGTGGAGACAAAATACTCTTTGAAAGGAGTTTTGTATGTAATTGTGGATAGTTAGAGCATCTTCTGTAGTTAATTTAGCTACATGATTTTATTGTAAGTTCATGGCCTGATTTTCAGATTCAGTAAGCATCTGCTATTCCTGTAAGATGCAGAGGTAATTGGATGTAGCTAGTACTTCAGAAAAATGAGGCCAATCATATTTTTCCCTTAACCCTTTTTTAAAAAGATGAAGACCTTTGTATTTGAACTTTTCAGTTCTGTGTTACAGTTTTTATGTGTTTGGAAAAAACATTTTTTTCTCCTGAGCCATATAGGACAGTTTCTGTTTCTTGCAATTAGAACAACCTTTTTGAAGGATTTCTTCCAGCAGATTCTAAAAAGGTCTGAAGTTTGTTTCTTAGGAAATTATCCTTCATTGTAGAAAGGAATTTGGAAAAAATACCTGAATTTCTGTCACCTCTGAAGAAGGAACTGTGGATACTAATTCTTCTGTGAAAAACATAAATTAGAATATAAATACTTTTATACCTATTTCAGCAGGAGTGACAAGTGTTGGCACTATGTTGGCATGTGAACAGAGAAGTTCAGTTTCACACCTGTGCATTTCTGGGCTCCACCACTGCATTAAAGAAAGATTTCATTTAGGTTCTGATCATATAGAATGATTCATGTGTTTTCAATCTTCTCTTTTTTTTTTTTAATAAATATCCTTATTTGAAAATTGCATTTATGTTTCTAAAGAAGTACATTTGACTTCTGGATCCCCTGGGGTGTTACAGACCATTGCTGTGGGGATGAGTAGATCACAGACGTGGGACTGAACAGATCTAGTTTTTACGTAAAAGTCCCTGAAGATAAAAACTTAGAACACGAACAAAATGTAGAAACAAGCTGTACTCTCAGCAAAAATCACTTTGAACAGAAATGTTTTCAGGCGATGTGGCGTCAGCAAGTCTATTATCAAAAACAAAACTCGCAGTGCTGTGGGCAGGCTGTACAGGCTCCAGCACAGGCAGATCGAAAATTCTGATTCACAAGCAGGCATTTCAGGAACTGGGTGGGAACTCACATTGCTGTGCTTGGGGAATTTTCAGGTGTTTCTGCTGGTCACACGTCTGACCTTTCTTTTGCTGGATGCAGGGGCTTGCCACCTCCCATGGCATATTTACAAGTTGTTGGGGTTTTGGATAGCAGCATTTTGCTTTGGGTTGAACCATTCAAATTGTACACTGCCCAAGAGATGCACCACCCACCTGTAGTATTGCTTTAGTGCTCTCCTGTTGTCCTTAATAAATCTTTGGCAAAGAGAAGGAAGGTTTAACAAGAGGAAGCATACACAAAGCTCTAGCAGTCTATGGGAACCACTGGACTCCATAGTTGCAGAAGCTGCTGTACCTTGAGAAATATAAGAATTATTTAGAGACTTTTATCTTGTGGCTGAAGCTTTTCATGGGTATAGCAGCAAATGCAGATGTCTTCTCATGCTGTTAAGTGAATGAGTTGCCTGTCAGTAAGTTTTACTCTTTTCCAATCTGGCAGGTTGGAGCGGAGGTGGGTCTGTGGTGAGAAACAACAGAGTCCTTTCCCATCAGCTGGAGCAGCAGCGCAGCATTGTTCATTATGTCTACCAGAACATGCTGGGAGGCTCCATTCGGGCACCGCTCAGGCAGGTGAGAAGTGTCTCCTTCATGACCTGTTGGACATCTCAACTCCCTACATAAAAAAACCTTCAACACAAGCAGGAAAACTTAAAGGGGCTTAAAAGTTCTCCTCCTACACAGTTTATGGCTCCAAGTCTGATGCACTCTTATGTTTCTTAATTGTGTAAAATGCAAGAGATGAGATGGCTTTCTCTTTTCGTTGACCCAGCCCTGTCATCTACATTTTATCCTCTGTTAATTCAGTGCTTCCTTGAATCATGTTTAAACTTGCCCAGTCTATCAGCTGAGTAATTGCACAGTGATACATTTGCATGCTGCTCTGACTGTTTTGTCATACTCTTCTTGTATTCACTCTGCTTTTCTAATCTTGTCAGGTTAAGTGTTGATTTTTACTTCTTCACAGATGTAGTCCCTCAAGTCCATAATGTTTTACTGTTTTCCAGAGCCATAAACCTTTCATTTGAAAATTAACTCTTTCTGTAACTTTCATAGGTGGGAGGCACTTGGGCTAGCTTTATTTTCCTGATGATTTATGTATTTTAAGTATCCAGATGATAAATTGCTGAGCTCATCCAAGCAGTACCTGTTTTTCAACTGAACAACAATGCAATATGTCATGGTTTCTCATTCCCTATTTCAAGTGTTCTGTTCACTCTTATGCTGTGTAGTTGAGCTGCAGACAAATTGGATGGAGGACCATAATATTGTATGTCTGGATGACATGTAACATTTTGAGATGCTCAGTAAAGACATAGATAATCATAAGTGCCTTTTCCTGATGTGGAGGCACGTTCTTCTCCCTTGTTAATTAGTCCGCGTTTTTAGCTCAGCCCACAGTCTCCTAACCCTGTACATCATTTAAAATATGGTATCTCTCAGTTCTCTGTTGCTTTCTGAGTGCTGTGGCTGATGTGGATTTTTGTGGTCACAGGCTGTTTCCCTTGGGTTCAGCATTCATCCTCTTCATTTTACAGAGATGTTTAGAATTTTGTGTGAACGTACTACACTAATGACAATTAGAAATTGTTAGCACTTGTCATTCAGAGAATCTCAGGAATGCCTGCAAAAGTCATAATTCTCTACCTTTTTAACAGTGTCTGCAGCTGCCTTTTCTGCGTTCTCTTGCCTCATATCGCCTCTTTCGAACAGCAAGTCCCTTTGACAGGAGAGTGACATGCTTGGAATGGCATCCAACACACCCTAGTACAGTAGCTGTCGGTTCCAAAGGTGGAGACATCATCCTTTGGGACTATGAAGTACTTACTAAAACGTGCTTCATAAAGGGGGTAAGCCTGTGTGTGTGTGGAATGGGTGGGAGGGAAAACTGGAGTACCACAAAATACTGCAGATAAAAACTAAGGTCTGTTGTGAGAAGCACATAAGGGTCTTGGGTTTCAGAGTAGTCTGTTATGGGGCAGGACTGAGATGCAACAGCATATCTGTTCCTAAGTCCCAGACTGTTCTAGCACTGGGGAGAACTGAGGCGTGGTGATTAAGTTCACAATGAAGCAATACTTGGTGTGTGCTTAGTGGAAAAATAATACAGCAACTGGCAAAACAGTTGTCTTAAAGGGATACCAGAAACGACTGTGCAGAGAGGGTCAGTCTGCCTTAGGTCTTGATCTTTCTCTACTCACCTTTTATTGTGTCAGAGGAAGAAACATCTTTGAGTGGGCAGAGACAAAGTGCCTTTATCTAAAGGGAGAAACTAAGGTAGAATGAATGGTTTATACAGCTGGCATACCCCCTTGTTGCTTTATTCAGCCATTTCTATTCCAACAGGGGCTCAAAGACTTCTTAACTTTTATTGCCTTTCTAAATTAACATAGATATACATTGAGAGATCTATCCTCCAGAAATTCCAGAGTAATATTTCTCTTTTTGTAAATAGTGAAGTGCAAGCCAGCAAGGGAATACATTGCCTGGGGACCGAAGGAGTTGCAGATTTGTCCTCCAGGAGGGCAGCTGTCTAGACAGCTGTCATGTGGGAGACATGGTTATCCTTGCCTGTTTAGAGGACTGTGGTGTGTTTCACTGTTGCTGTTATAGACATAGCAGTGAATGCAGACTTACAGAACACACTTTTCTCCTTCCCCATCACTCAGTGGATTTTTCTTTTGTTCATCCCCTTCCTTGTAGATGGGAGCTGGAGGGGCCATCACAGGAATGAAGTTTAACCCTTTTAACCCTAGTCAGCTGTACACTTCATCAGTTGCCGGCACTACCACCCTGCAGGATTTTAATGGCAATACTGTCCGGGTCTTCACCAGCACCGAGGACTGGGAGTAAGAACACAGTAATGCTTTGGGCCTCTGTGTCCTGCTGGCAGGAGCACTACAGGGAGAGAGAGAGAGAGAGAGAGAGAGAGAGAAAGAAAGAGAGAGAGAGAGAGAGAGAGAGAGAGAGATGTTTGTCTTGAATATGTGAGAGCTGGGCTTCCTCTTCCCCACATACATGTTTTCTATCCTCTGAATTTCAGGGAGACTCATTCTTTTTATTTTTCCCTGAAATGGGGTAGTGGGTAGGAGAGAGCTTTTCTTCACCGAAGGGGAGGGACTCTTTGATGCTGCTTACTTCTTGTTGTACATGAGAGAGTGAGGGTGCCAGTGGATTTTAAGAACAGCTGTCTGTTCTTAAAACTTCCCAAAACTCAGTACTCTACGGACCTTCTAACCTCTTCACCTGCTAGCAGTGCTGCTTGTTGTCAGATGGTTTTTACATGACAATTCATAGTTCTGTCCATGCTTCTCCACTAATGCCACTGACTTCAAGCAGTGCATGCCATAAGGATCACACCAATTCATTCCTCCTAGCTTTTGGTGCTTACCCAAAATACCAAAATTAAGAGTCTGGGCTCCTTTAGTAATGAGTGAAAAGGGGACATGAGTTGTTAGAGGCATCTCTAAGATTTACCTTCTCAGACTGTTGCTTTTTCTGTGTACTCATGAGGAAGCCTCAACTCTTCAATTAGTTACTTCCATTCAGTGCTTAAAGGTAAGTGAGAGAATTTGGATTAGCTTCTGCATTACTTTTCCCCACCTGATTCTTTCCGTGTGGCAGCTTTTATGGTTGTTTTCCAAATTGGCTGTTCACCTGCAACCTTGTAATAGCGCAGAAGGCGAACCCAGGTAGTGCTGGGATGACTGGCCAGGTGAGCAAGGAGAGATAAACTGGGTCCTGGGACACAAGGATCCCAGTGGGATGCCTGTCGCAGCAATGACGCCTGGATTTGAAAGGGCATGCCATCCTCCTTCTTCCACTGCTGTGAGGACAGGCAGGCTCTATGGGTGGGCCTTTTTTTAATCTTCATTGGCTTCTTGAAGTCTAGTATTTACAGTGAGACCTTAAGTAGTTTTTCTTTGAGCAGCAGATGGAGTGCACTTGAGTATCAAAGAGTTTGGGGAATCCCAGGTACTGGTCTTCTTTTCTGCCATTGCGTAGGATTTCCAAGTTTCCTCAGTAGACAGGTTGGGGGAAAACAACATAACAATATGACATAACACAAGATTCCTGTGCCACGCGGTTAGCAGTAAGATTTCTCTTTGCAACAGTCTCATCCTGCCTGTTGGTACCTTGAGAAAGACCAGATACAGCCTGTGGGTAACTAGTGACGAAGTCTCTCTAAGAAAAGCTTGGGGCTGCGCTGTCATGAGATTTTTTGTGGTTTATGCATGGGATGGTGCTGGTTTTGCTTGTGATCTCCTAAGCCTGGTTTGAGCCAGGTGGTTCACTGCAGATTAGTCCTATCCCCATAACAGAAGCAGCAATGCTGCTAATGAGGTTTGCAGTGCAGCGTGGTGAGGGTGAACTTAAAAGGCTCAGAATGTATGTAACCAGGTTGGAAACAGGTTAGAAAAAAAGTTCTTATCTATCTTCTCTGCCTGAAAGCAGTGCTTATGCCTAGGGAAACTGGCAGTGTGTTCCAGGAGGTGACTGTTGTATTAAGATTTTGTCTTCCACTCTAACCTTGATGCCTCTTGGCTTTGTGTGTATTTCAGAAAGGGGCTGGAGATTTTCTTGGAGACATCAAGTTCAGTCCTTATGAGGCAGTGAAGCTTTATGTGGCATCAGGTGATGGCACCCTAAGTCTGCAGGACCTTGAGAGCAGAGCGGTGCAGGTGATCTCTCGTGCCCCGGACTGTGGCCATGAGCACCATAATGTTTGGTGAGAAGAGGGCACTGCAAGGTTGAATCTCTGTTTCTTGGGGTTAATGCTGCACTACTTCTTCAGATCTCTAACATCTTCATCTTTGCCAGTGTCAGGAGACTCTTGGTATGAATTAGTCCCTGGAGGGAGCTTGGAGACAGAGTCCTGGTCCTGACCTAGCACTGCAGGGTGGTGATGGGCAAGGCAGCACAGGGCACTTACACTTTTACAGTAGCTGAGTGTGCTGCCTGCATCTTCTGGTGTTGCTTTCTGGTGATACCATCTTGTATCTTGCAGATATTGATAGCTTTTCACTTTATAAAATGTGAGGTGAGAAGAGCAGGGTAACTTCCTCCTCTTCATTGTTGCCACTGGTCTGTTTTGTCTGTAGCAGCTCAGGTAGCATAGGAAAGCCACAAAACATTCCTGTGCCATCTTTCAGGTTATTGAGTTTACCCTGTGGCTCTTCTGGAGACTTCAGGCTCACAATGTTCATTTCCATGGCCTTGAATTCTTAGAATAATTTATCTTGCAAGTAAAGTTTTCATAACAAGTTCCCAAAGGATCCCAGCTTTATTCTTGCTGCCCTTCCCCTCCCAGCAGAGCTGGGGTTAAGACCTATGTCTTTATCAGATAAGTTTTTATTAAGTTTTGTTTTCCTGGAGCATGAAGTTGAGACAGTTTGAGGTGCAACTTTTCAGTACAAAGCTTTTGTTTTTACTGCTGCTTCGGTGTTTTGTGAAAAATGTAATTTTAAAGCTGTTTCTGCACATTTGTCGTTGTCCCAAGGGTGTTCTGATCTTTCCCAAGGTATGTTCACGTGCAGGCACCAAGTGGCTCTTCAGCCTCTATTATGTTTCACTGTCCCGATATGTTACATTCCATTTAGTGAGGACTTCGAAAACACCTAGGAAGTTATTTCATATTCAGTCACCAACAGAAAGCATTGCTGATAAGCCGTCCTTCCTGATACTCAGGCCCACACCATCGGGCAGTTACAATCTGTTGCATTCTCCCTTGTTAGGGATGAGATGTGAACCAGAGCTGCACTACCTTCACTTTCCTGTGGGAGGAGCACTGATTTTGTCTCTTTCTCTCTAGTTGCTGGTACTGCAGTGTGGATGTCTCTGCAAGCTGCCGTGCAGTGGTGACAGGTGATAATGTGGGAAACGTGGTCCTGCTCAGCACTTCTGGTGAAGAGGTTCGTATGGCTCCATGGAGCGTCATCTCTATGGGAATCTTCATGTGCTTTCCTACACTACAGGGACCCCGAAAAGAGAAGCAAGTGCCTTGCAGCTCAGGAGATGAGTCTACCCGTTGTCTGAGTAGTGCAAAGTCCTCCACTTCTGCCATCCATTAGACATTTTCACATTGTTGAGTGTAATGGTAATAAATCCCAAACAGGGACTGTGTCATGTGCTGTCCCTTCCTTACCGTATTTGCTACTGGCCAGGGTAATTATAGGGTAATGTGAAAATGTGAGCACCCTCTGCCCACAACCTTCACACTTCCAGAAACTTAGTGCACTGATGGGAGTCATTTGAGAGATACTGCTTTGATGTACATCCTTCCATGACCTAGGAGTAGGCACACAGCCATAATGCTGTGAACTTAGGGATGGAAATCGCACTCCTGCCGTTAGACACCAGAGGGCAGGCAGAGACAGACTGAAGCAGTGCAGACACATAGGAGAGAATAGTTGGAGTGGATCCTGCTTCAAGAGCCTGCTGTACTGCCACACTGGCTTTGCTATCTCTCCTGCCTGTAGGGGTAACATCTGTAAGAGTTTGCCACAAGGCAGTTGTGTAAATTAGCGGGCAGAGTCAGGAGTGCTCCAAATTATTTGCCATTATTTAAGGTTAGTTGCTTACTTTCCTTTTTTTTTTTTCTGAAAGAATGTGACAATCTTTTTTGCACTTGGGAGATATCCATTATTCTAGGGAGGATGGGTCAGCTTCAGCCTTTTGATTAAAAATAATCTTCTGGCTTTGGATAGAAATTTATTCATGGCCAGTTTATATTTATTTGTTGTTTTTAATAGAAATATTTGACCTACACTCATGTTTCTTTGCTGATATGTTTCTAGAAGCCAATTATATCTCCTCTCACCATTTTTACTAAGATAAACAAAGGAAGGTTCTTTGGTCTTCCACACAAAGCAGGTGCTTCCTCTTGTTATCTTGGCAGCACATTTTTTGTACCTGTTCCATTTTGTTTTAATCCTTCTGCCTAAAGTCTTCCAGATGTGATCTTGTTTTGTACAGTGGCACTAATACTTCCTTCCATGAACCAGGGATTGCATCCTCCTTTCTCACATCTGTAATAAATTGGTGGATCACAGTTCTCCTAGAATTAAACAGTTATTTCCCAAAGTAATTCTTTTCCTTTTTTGTTTCCAGTGAACAAACTCTTGGTGTATTTTAAAAGTTTAGTTACTCTGTAAATGTGAGACCTCTTTACCCTGTAGTAGTAGATTATTCCATTTCTTTACTCCAGACCTTGGTCATTTTTTTTTCTTTATGATTTTCTGTTTGCTGCAGATTTGGAAGCTGAAATTGCACAGGAAGAAAGTGACTCATGTAGAGTTTAACTCCCGATGCGAGTGGCTGTTGGCCACAGCGTCTGTGGATCAGACAGTCAAAATCTGGGACCTCAGAAACATCAAAAACAAAATGAGCTTTCTTCATGTGCTTCCTCATGAGAAACCTGTCAATGCAGGTAAGTTGAGATAAGGATTTAATTGCATGGATATCTGCAGAGAGTCCACTCAGCTCAGGTTTTATTGTGGTGGCAGTGTGAGGTTTTACTCAGATTCCATTGGGAGGAGGGCATTGGGAATGTGTGGCCAGAGGCAGGGAGGTGGATAGGGCAGCTGCAGCACGTTCTTAAGACTTGACATACAAACTGTGGCACTGTACCTTGAGAAGTGAGTTTGGAAGCATCAGCAGCGGCTGAGATCAGAAAACTGAATTTATTGGAGCAGTCCTTTGACAAAAGCAGAGCATAGGACTCTGTTTCTTGGGTGCAACTTTACCAGTTCATGAAGTCCAAACTGCAGATGACTGTCTCATTATTCCACTGCCTTTTCATTTGGACAAGCATGTTTCTTTCTTCGCAGTGTCTCCTTCTGTGATTCTGAAATGAGACTAATGATTCTTCCTAGGTAACTCCGCACTGTAGGTTTCAGCTTACTGTATGTAAGAGCCTTGAGTTTGTTTGAGACAGGTAAAGCCTTGTTTGTTGAGACACACAGCCATATTGAAATCCCTATTAAAGAAATAGCAATGGCTTTTCAATCAGAGAAATGTGACTTTTCTGTTTCGTATCAGTCACAGCATTGTGATCTTTAATTTGCCTTACTGTCCCCCTCTCCTAGCTTACTTCAGCCCAACAGATGGTGCAAAGCTTCTGAGCACAGACCAGCGCAATGAAATCAGGGTTTACTCATCTTCAGACTGGACCAAGCCACAGCATCTGATTCCACATCCACATAGGCATTTTCAGCACCTCACACCTATTAAGGTGAGTTAAGTCTCAGAGGAGCATCACGCTTGGTACTAGCAGCCAGCTGTAAATCAGAAATGGTCTGATTACTGGTCAAGATACTACATTTGTGGGTGGATATTTACACTGCTGCACCTTCCAGTGGACCACTGTTCCTCAAGCTGTGGGTGGGATGTATACAGTGTTGCTTAGTGTCAGTGCTGAGCTCTGTCCCTTTCTCTAAGCTCTACATCACTCTGCTCTATGACTAGGCAACATGGCATCCTCGGTATGACCTCATTGTCGTAGGTCGCTACCCAGACCCCAAGTTCCCAGAGTACACAATGGATGAGCTACGAACTGTTGATGTATTCGATGGAAACACCGGAGAGATGGTTTGTCAACTCCATGATCCAAATGCTTGTGGTATCATCTCGGTGAGTTGAGCGCTGCAGCTAAAAGGGTGGCTGTGTACTGAACACCGCTGTATCTCTGGGAAGGAGGTACGGGTTAGTGACTAGAACAGTATCCTCTTTACTTGTGATAGACTCATGCTGTCATGGGATATGGCTGCCAGCTAAAGCTGCTGATTCAAGCAGGGCTAGTCCATGATCATCTATGGGGGTTTTGTGATGCTCCTAGGGAACGCTGGGTTTTCCAGATGGTTTGTTGCTGTTATATAAGCTGTGGTGCTCTTATGACTGTTATATAAGCAGTGATGCTCTTACAGACTCTGATTGTGTTTTCGTTTTCAGCTCAATAAATTTAACCCTATGGGAGACACACTGGCTTCTGGCACAGGTAAGTAAAGAGAACCCAGGGTACTAAGCATGGGTGGATTCCAGTCCCAGAAAGGGCTGCCTTGTTACTCTATACTAAAGCAAGTTGTAAGAGGGGGTTTCCCAAATCCCACTTGCCAGTAGTCCTCTATAAATTCCTACATCTGTAAAATAGATTAAGACTTTCTTTTCAGTCTTACACCTTTGCACTTGGAAAACAGGTCATCTCCTGTGAAACCTTCATGAGAATATCAAGTCCAGAGGAGCGGGAAGCCTCCTGGCAGCAGGGAGCCGCTGCCACCTGCCGGCCATGAAACAGTAGAAGAAAACAATGGAGGGGGGGAAGCCTTTTTCTGCTAGGGTGTACCCTTTCCATTCATTTAATTTATCTCATTTCCTAGGCCGCAGAGCCAAGATTACTGTTTTTCGCAGGCTGTATTTGATTAAGGTAGCTGGCTATAGATTGAGGTCTTAGACTTCTGACAGATGAGATTAGAAATTACTTCTATTTCTTAGTTAGATCGGATTTCCATGGCTATGTGAAAATAGTATCTGTAATAACTATTTTTGCATTCTCTGTATCTTGGAAATACCTTAGAACAGACAAAGCCCTTTGAATTTCTGACTTTTAAGTGACATAGCCTAAGGTATTGTGTTTGATGTAGAATTTCTGATGTACAGTGTTTAATTTTTCTTCTCAGGCTTTAATATTCTGATTTGGAGCCGGGAGGAGATGGTGGCCAAGAAGCAAGAACATCTTTTGAAAGCCATGACAGAACAGGGGATTGGAAGCTGGAATTCATCCAGACGTGGAGGGCAGAGGCAGGCAAACCCTGGCACAAGCAAACTCAAAGCTAAGTTATTGTCTTGGGAGCTGGACGAAATGAGAACAAAAAACAATGATTCTAAATCCAAGGGAAGAAAGCGAAAAGGGAAGGATCTAGACAAGTGATTTAGTATTTTGATCCTTTCTGAATCCCAGGGTACAAACTCAGTTGTTGCCAATGGGCAGTATAAGCTGTACAGGGCATTAGATTTTGTCCCTCCTCCCTGGATCTGATCTTGGTTCCCTCATCCTCTTGGCTTCCCCTTCTAGAAAGTTGTGTCAGTACTTGGTTCCTCCTGCAAATGGAGTTATCACTTATTTTCTGAGGCACTAGGATGTTCTCAAGTCCTGCTGAAGTTACTGCTTCCAATCTGCCATATCTGCTTGTCATCACTTGTCAGAGGTTACCATTTCCTGTAGTCTGCTTTAGAGAAGCTCATGGTAGGGTCCCCAGCCTGTTCTAGTCCAACTGAGTTGAGAAACCATTTGCTAACAGGATTTAACATCCTGAAAAGGTAGAATGTTTACAAGGCTGAGGTGATGGATAGCTCAGGTAGCCTAGAAAACATCAAGCTCTTCCATATGCAAGCTTCTTGGAAAATGTTAGTCAAGACCTGTTCTGTGCTTGCAGCTATTTAACTGGACCACAAAGAACATCATGATCCCAGAGGTGTCTACCTGCCTCATGGGATGCAAGGGCAGTATGGAGCTGGGCCTAATGATTCTGTAGTTTCTATTGTCAGAGTTCTAGGCTCTTTCTTGCCACCGATTAGGTAATTTTTTTCACCCAGGTGCTTCAGAATGTTGGATAAAAGTGTTATAAAGCAGAAATGAGGAATTTCTTCCAAACACCCCTGCTTAGAGCCAAATCTCAAGACTGTTGTTAAAGTCTAAAGTTTTGCTTTTTCTGATTTGTTTACAAGGCTGCCCAGGGCCTTGCTGCTGTCCCAGAGGTTGATGGATGGGATGGGCTCCAGGCCTGCGCAGATTCTCCATGTTCACTTTTATAGTTTTGCAGTATTAATAAAGTTTTGTATTAAACTAAAATTCTTTGATACAGAGTGGCTGCCTCGAGTATTCTGCTGAACTGCATTTGTAGGGGAGAAGAAGTCTGAGACCTTTCTGCAAGAGGGCTGCAAGACCTAGAACAGTGGTGGAAGTACCAGTCATAGTACTGGGTTTGCAATGGACCCCCTCAAGTAGGGCAAGATGCATTATCAGCTCTATCTTTGCATAGTTGCTGCAGTCAAAAATAGCTTATCTCGGTTCTCCCTGTGCTATATGCGGGATTGTGAAACAGGGAATTCCTTTGGGAGAGGATATGCTGCAGTAAGTTCTGCCTGTTTTCCAACACTGAGCACACTGGTGCTAGCCCCATGAACTGTAAGAGAAGACGACGAGTAGAGTTCAGCACGAATTTGATTTTAATAATGAAATGTATCGGAACAATTACAGGAAGTCATTCACAGTCAAAATGTCTAAATCATCATAGAAATGTTTCCTTTGTGTGTGCAAAATTTGGTGCCTTTAAAAATAACAGGTCTGGTCCTCTGCAATGCACTTTCTATTACCCCCTTCTTGTGCCTGTTCTCACAGGCAGGAGCTTTTTTTTTTTATGACTGTCTTGCTGTGCAGGAGACCTAGTTTATATCTTCAGCAGACAAAAAGGTGAGGAAGATGCTGAGAACAGCAAGCTACTTCTGCTGATTTACAGTTCCCATGGTGGCAGATGCTGATTACGGTGTGGGGAAAAGTCCCCATGGTACTCCTTAGGGCAAGAAAAGGAAATGTCTGTAACCTAAGAACTGGCTTCTGCTGCCAAGAGGGGAAGGGAACTGCACCAGAAAGGGAAGTAAAAGTGGGAAGTGAATGTGCAGCATCACCATGTGAAGAGCCTGTGCTTCTGGTGCCCGCTGCAGTCTCATTTTTTGCCAAAAGCTACAAGGCAGGTAGTGAGCACTTGGCGTGAAAGTCCCTGCAGCAGCTGCAGTCACTGAAAGGCCAGCCAGGAGAGAAAGAATCACACTTCGGACAAAATGCTGAAGTGTGGCAAATAAAGGAATCCAGTCACTTGCCAACTCTGATCCTTACTGGGGTTTTTTTTGATTGATTGTTGTCCATCCAGTAGGGAAGACAGGAAGAAACACTATAGAACTTGGCATTTAATCTAGTCTTAGGTAAACAGCTCTGCTGCATCTCTTAATTGCAGCATAAAAACATTCTGCTAATGAAGCATATTCCTTGGGCTGAAATCTGGACTGCCTGAAGTACTGGATACTCACTTGATTTGGACTTACTCAAGCCTGAACTTGCTTGAAGTTCGGAGGTGGGAAGTAAAATTCAAACTTTGGATCTTTAGAGAGAACCTAGCTTTCCTATCTACGGGGACTTTCCTTTCTAGAGCCAACACTGCTCAAGAAATGGAGTGTGGGTTTGCTATGGTTGCAGGAATTGCTCTCACTCATGAAGCTCTTAGAGCTTTGGGTTCTATGGTTCTACTCTGAGCTGAATCCTAGGAACGACTGCCAGGTTTTCAATCTTGCCCTGATTTCAGGCCAGTCCTCTCTTGAGCCACAGAGTGAGAAGGGAAAAAAAGACCAGCTGCCAGCAGCAACTACTTGGCAGCTGCCACTTGGCAACAACCTCAAGAAACACTTCCACTGTCTCCCATCATCTGCAGCAGTTCCCTCTGCATGGACAATAGATGAATCTTGGTGCATCACTGGTGAGCTGCACCCTCAGCTCCAAGCCCAGCCTTCCCACCATCAGCAGCCCTATGGTGTGAGGGAAAAGCACTCAAAACAGGTTGACCCTGAAGAGAAATGCAACTGGATGTGGCAGCTGCTGGAGGCCCAAGCTTCTTTGCCAGAGTCATGATGAGTGGTAACATTTACAATCAGTTGAAAGGAGGAAAACTTGAACTGGCTATGTTGTTACCCGACCAGGTAAGCTGTATGAGGACCAGGGGCACCACACAGTATACTGGCTTCAAAATTAAGGTGTTAATTCCACTAGAGTAGCTTAGTCCTTTTTCTCTGGGATGTCACCTTTAGAAAACATCCAAAAATCAAGTCCAGCTTTGTTTTGGGAAGCAAAGGCCAAAACAGAAGGCGGCTCAGTAAGTGAAGGTGCCCAATAATTCTTAGGGGCAACACAGCTCCCTGCTACTGCCTGAGAAGGAGTTGAAGCAACTGTCAGGCCTGCTCTTCTCCCTCATTGGAAACATGCCGGTAGCCGGGGGGCTGAGACTGTATGCGAAAGAGTACAGTCAAGAGGAGGATTATAAGGAGAAGGAGAATGGATCCACACACAGCCAAACCCACAAACAGTTCTGCAAGGGAGAAAACAAGTGGTCAGCATGGTATTGTCCAAAATTTCCCCTTCTGCCACACTCTGGTCCAGCCTGGGCTCACCTGTGTCATGGATGCTGCTGGCTACCTTGCATTCTTGCTCCCAGTCCTGGGGAACAACAGGATCTGTGAGTTGCAAGAATCTTTGCAGTGGGCATTTATGCTCACAGCCAGGGATTGTCAGAGGGAAAGGTTCCTTCCCACTCTCATTCCGGTAAAACATCTCCACGGAGAAGTTACTGAAAACAAAACACAGGAAGATGTGTTTTCATCTTTTTTTTTCCTCTAGCTTAAGTCATCCCTTCCCAAAAACTCAGTGTGCACACCCTTTCCTTTACTCTCATAAATTTTCCTCATGAGAGTCTGCCACTAGGAGCAAGACTGCATGCCCCTAGGGTGGAGCCTGGCCTAGGTATCTAACCCTCGAGGTGAAATCAGAGCAGATGTCTTTACTGCAGCCCTCACCCATCATCCTCTTGGTACAGTTCAAATAAATGACATGAGGCGTATGGTGCTTGGATCTTGTTGTAGACATCTAGAGCCATCTGCAGTGCCACAAGTGTGGTGTCATGCTGAGAAAGAGGGAAAAAAACCAAATCAGTCATCCTTATGGATGTGGCAGGGCAGCTCAGACCGTACCAGCGCTGAAGGGACGTCACCTTTGTAACTTCCATCTGGAGAAAGGGAGAGGAACTGTACTGCTAGAACAATGATCTGTGATGGAGGGGGAAGGGGAGGAAGTGAAACACAGCCATATATATCCTGCATTGTTTTTTAAGAATTAATCTCTAGAGAGCAGTTTGGGAGAGATGTTTGACTTTCCAGTCAGTAGGCTGCTGGAAAGGGGAGATGACTGTATCTACGTTTCTGAAACATCACTCTAGAATCTACCCATCTACTAAGTAAATACAGCAGTGGTTCCCCCCAGTCTGCCAGTCTCATCCATGAGCCTGAGCTAAAAGGAACTAAGCACGCATCAGGAGTTTTCATCAGGGGCCCCAGAAGAATGATGCCAGACACTGCACCTCCCACCCAGCCAGAGGCAAAGATGCATGTCCTGATCACTGCATAGGCTGTAGAGAAGCTAGAAAGGGTTAAAACTATCACCAAGCCCCAGTCCCCTGTGGAGCAGGAGGAGATGGCTATAAACTAGCACCCTAGCTCTGACTTACTGCTGAATAGGCAAGTAGTTTCAGGTTCTGATGGGCAGAAACATTTGCTGCTTTGGTTAAGTTTCTCCTTATGTGATCCAGCAGGACCCCTGAGGAAAGAGAACAGCTGGTAAGAGGCAAAAGCCAGACAGAGCAGCACAAGGCTCCCTCCCTGGTGCACTCACCGCCTTGCAGACGAGCTTTTTCTCCCCGATTGTGGATCCCAAACAGAAATTCAAACCCAAAATCTTTTAGTTGCTTCAACTGCATCATGACATCTGGTGTCACCCATACAGGCAAATCCATTTTGTGGGCTTGCTAGAAAGAGAAACAGAGTACTCATCTGCAGGTAGCACAGATCGCACATTACTCAGAGAGTGGGAGGGTGCCTGGATGCTTCTGACCTCACACTGCTGTGCTGCATACAAAGGATATATGTGGGTTTTAATGTTGTTTTAGAAACTAATAATGAGAAGCATAAAGTTTACAATCTAGGAGCTATATTTCTGTGAAAGCACAACTGGAGTGCAGGGTTATGTTGTAACACTGAAACCATAATCTTAGGGCATTAACTTTACATGTGGCTGATTCTGCCCTGCAGATGGCATGCGGTCAAAGAGGAAAAAAAAAAAAAAAGATAAGTGAGTGAACACAAACTTGGAGTTTCTGGTGTACTTGCAGTACAGTTTCCTTGAAGGTTCTGTGGGCCACTGAAGGGCACTGGAGAAAGTTAGGAAGGGCTCTGTGGCCATAACAATGGGATGCACCACCGACAAAGCCCTGTACTCAAACCCCAAAGCCAGAAAACTGGGAAGCAAGAGAAGAACTTGCTTTGCAGCCAATCCATTACAAGAAAGGATTGGTTATAATGGCAGACAAACAGCAGTTGTGGTTTCCCAACACTACTTGGAACAATTTTCTGTTACATATCCCATTAGACTGCCAGAAGATGAGGCTGAATATCCTTATGGGCCCATTCTGTCTGAGCAGTTCAGAGAAATTCCCATTAGCAACTTAGAAATTTAGTTAGTTCTTCATTAATTTACAAAGAGAATAAATAGCTGGTAAGTTCAGCAATTTCTCAGACTTTTTTATTGTCTCCTGCCAGAATTAATCTACTGGCTCAGGTGAGAAAAACAATCCTTCTCTTCAGGGCACTGTTTGCATGACTTAGAAAAAAGGATGAAAACCAAAGCAGCTGAAGAGACCGATCAGCCTGAGGGTATAGTTCTGAGAGTGAAATTCCCCTTCCTTAAAAACATTCTGGTTTTGTTTTGGGACAGTGAGCTATTTTCCAAGTTCTTGGGGATGATAGTGGTTTTCAGCTGGCCTTTCAGGCCATTTGCAAACTCACTAAGTGACTCTTGAACATTTTAAATTCTTGATCTCTCTGACCAAAGGATTTTTTTGTTACCAACAAAAGTTGATTCACTGTGATTGTTACAAGACAGGAGACTGGGTTTGTGACACAAAGGGTCACATAGTGCAGTGCAGCTCTGGACTGAAATATTCTTTGCTTGCAGCAACCCAAGCTGCTACTTTATACAAAGTGCAATTCCA